TACAGAGATAAAGGGTGGTCAAAATCGAGTTTTTTTACTTTAGGATTTTTTTCTCGAAACTCATTATTGGTCAAAACGCCTTCCATATCCCTATCTCAACTTTTGATTTACTATCTACCGATATTTAATTGGAACAAATACAGGGTGGATTCATATTTCTGATCACCCTGTATATGTTCCAATTGAATGTAAGTGAATCGTAAATCAACAGTCAAAATAGGGACATTTAAGGCGTTTCGACAAATAATGAATAGTTTCGATACAAAAAAATCCTTGAGTTGAACACCCTATATCTCTGTCATCTTTCGTGCTAGACCCCAAGTGTGACACATTCATGAAATCAGCTCTCCAGGAAGAATCTAAAATTACAATGAAAAACAGGGTGTTTCATTTGAAAAAAATCAAACTTTCTGCTACGTTCTAGTAGAAGCGGCAACGCCGCATCATTCAAAATGTTTTAGACGTGTAGATGTACTAACTAATACCACAACCGTCTAATTAACGCTCATCGTGAATCACCCTGTATTGGTTAACGAGCACGGAATGATAGACATTTATTAGTATTCCGTGCGAGTTAAACACTATACTTTTTCTGAGACTGTCACAGGTAACATCGAAAATTTTTATTTCTTCGGCTTGTAGCCATCTGGTAATGCTCATCTATAAGACAGATCTGTCATTGCTTGAAATGTGACATTTCATGGGAGATGAGATGAGATTTTGGAATCCTCCTATTCATCTTCAATTTTTTGGTATAGGCACAATCTTGAAATATCCTTATTAGATTCTCATAAAAAATATTAGTGTCTTGGAATATGTGCATATTCATTTGGAAGGATATAAGTTCAGTTTTTCAACTTATCAATATCGAATTTTGTTATTTCTTTAGCTTTAACTTTCTTGTTTTAACTGATATGTGTTATGGAAAAATGGACAATTTGAATTTGGTGGTCACTAATTGGTGACATTTTTTGAGATATTTCTACACTCATTCGAATTTGTAGCAATATGGTCGATAAGACTAATTGTGTTTTTTATATCTCTTGTTGGTATATCTCTATTACATAAATTGAAACTATTTGTTGAGTAAATTTCCATATAAAAATAACTCACCAATATGTTAATAGCCAGGAAAGTAGTCGTTCTGTATTATGTCTGTCCATCCTTCCGCAGACGCGAAATTACGCTTACGCTTAAGCGTAATATATCAATCAACGACGAGAGTAAAAATTCTCTGCGCGGCGTTGGATGTAATATTCAATGAACGCATTTTTGAAGATTTCGAGTTTCAACAGTATTTATCAACACGCTTTTATCAATTGTGAATATGTAAACCTAACGACATGTTATACCACACCATTGTCGATCTAAATGGGAAAGCTAGTTAGTTGACGAGAGGTATACTAACTATTCGCGAGATTCGCGAAGTGGGCGACATCTAGGTTACATAATACGAACTTCAAACTGGGCGAAAACAAAACTGTTGTCTATGGATAAAGTGCATATAGACTACAATGCATTCAGCTTGCTGTAGCTGTAGTCAATAAACTTGTCAAAGACATAAAGTGTTAGCACTGTTGGTAGTGATGATGGTTGAGTTGGTTAATTTCTTTATATATTATTACATTTTTATTAGTTTAGTGAAGAGTGAACGGGTGAAGAATTAGAGCTCAGCGAGCACAAAAACATCTCAGAGATGTTAAAAGTACGAGATTTCGAGACATTGAACCTTCACTGCGATGTTCTGTTCACACATGAATAGAACTATTATAGAACTGCCAATGTCCGCCGCAGGCGGCAATTATCGCGATGTCCTTGATATGTCACAAAACTACCTTCTCCCTAGTTCTTTTTGAAGCCTTTTCATGGACACAACAAAACATTTTCAACGCGTCTTGCGCACATTAAATCGCTGTAAAAAAGATTTTGGAGGTACTCTTCTGAAGCCTTTTGTCAAAATGAACTTTTGCATTAGGATTCCATTTCCCTTGAATGAAAAAATGCGTTAAAAATAGATTGAACATAAAAATATTTTCTTGATATGAAATTACCTTCTTAATCGGTTTCTGAGTAATGCTTACTACACACAGACATATAATTGGAAATAGGTTTCCCAATTTTTGAAATGTTCTCCACGATGCATAATTTTGCAACTGCGGAGAAGCTGTGTATTGATGAGTTCGTACTTTTATATATTGATTACACTGAGGCACCGAACAACACATCTTGCATCTGATGGTCATTATTACAAATTAAATAAGTCTTCTAACACAATAAACTTCACCAAATTCCTTTCTGTTCGTTAGCAGCGTGATGTAAGCGTGACACGCTGCAAACGCGAATGCCAATTGCGAACAAGAAGAACAACAAAAATCGAAAACAAATCAGAATTCATCGTATTGTGACGTAAGCATGAGACGTTGTGGTGGGGCAAACAAAGAAAGGGCACAAAAGAACAAAAACAATACTTTCAATATCCTTCCAAGACCTCTTTGGGAAGTGCATATTACCCCTCAAAAAAAACATCCTCGTGCCTACATTTCTAAAGCATCCCAAAACATCCCAGGGATACCTCTCAGTAGGCAAACAAAGAAATGCCACAGAAGAACAAAAACAATACTTTAATATCCTTCAAAGACCTCTTTGGTCAGTGCATATTACGTCTCAAAATAACATCTTCATGCCAACATTTTCAAAACATCCCAAAACATCCCAGGGATGTTTGTGCTCGCTGGGAGATAGGTCAAACAATTCAAACTAATTATGACGAGCAAATCAATTGACATATAATAGAACAGCTACAACATGTTTACAATACCCAGATTGTCCTACATTGCAGGAACAAATACGAATCCATTGTTCTACAGGAGTTCCTCTAGACCTCAACTTCAATTTTACTTCATGTGGGGAAGATTTCATCACCGAAGTTTGTAGACCAAGTGCAAAAATGTGCATTTTGTTGAAGTCTTCTGCCTCACACGAAATCACATGATTAGCACGGAGAACTGCTTCTCCTTCCACTACTGGTCGGCTTTTTCCATCTAAATAGAGCAAAATATCTGCCAAAAGAACATCTACAACAGGCATTATTAGCGTTTTCGATCGAATTAATATCACGAAATTTAAAAACTTATCACTCTTATCAGTACACAGTACATAAGCTAATGGCACTAATGGGATTGAGTGAGGATTGAGTTTGTTTTCCTCCAGTTTTGACGTGGCTTTGACATGGAACGATGAAAACCGAGCGCCACCTGGTAACATTGATTCCCGCGAATAGCTTTTCCATAGATGGACAATGGCCATACAGTTTTTATTGATAGGTATAATTGTTTCTTTGTTTTACAGTGTGTTCATGGAAAGAATACCTGCTTATGCTTATTTAGCATGTAAAGTTTGTTATTATGGCAATTCAGTATTTTTTTGAAATTTAAATCCACGTTTTCAATTCTTGTTGTTTTCTCCACATTACTACGTTTTATAGGGGAAGTAATGCTGGATTGCCAAACAAAAACTACAGATTGTATTGCTTCATTATTATATTGATAAAAACCTACTATACAAGCTATAAAAATCAAAAACAAAATGTTTCCTTCAAGCTAAATCTATCTTGTTGATTTTCACTGCAATATAATTTTCACTATGATGTAGGTATACCCCCCAGGGTTTTTAAAGTCCAAATATATCAGTCTCAAATGTTAAACAGCTATCATTGAATTATATGAACACTAAAAGTCATTTGTCAGTCTCTAATAGTGCTTTTTAAAATCCAGAAAAGGGCTGGGTTCATGAATCAAACTAGAATATATATTATCCCAGGCAACCAGATGACGAATGATCACGTCACTGTGACGTCCCTAATTGGTGATTTTTCGTCAGAGACGTCACTACACCAATTTATGACGTCACTAAGATGGTTGAAAGAAGACGTCAGTTTCATAACGTTGCAGGGACGTCTTGTAGACGTCCATTTTTCCCAGATCTTCTCTAATTTATGGATATATTATCATGTGAAACAGAAGCAAATCAACATGCAAGTTTTTTTTGAATTATTAATATACCCGAAAAGTAGGAGAAAACTTTTTTCTAAGAAACTTTGACACACTGTATATATATACGGACGGAGGTGGTAGGTTATGTGTTCTTGAAGAAATTTGACCATATATACTATTATACAAAGTGTTACATTTTTCGAGAAATCATAGCTTATAAATTCAAAATTTGATGTTACAAAAATCGTTTTTTTTTATTCTAACGAGCCAAAAAATGTTTTCATCACATAAGATCCCAAAACTACATAATTTTTTATACGAATACCAGTAACAGATTGCATTCTGATGGAGATGCGTACTGAAGGATAGCGCTGCTGAATAGGCGATTGAATGAACATGACACAGGAGGGACCCACCAAGCAGACTTCGAGAATGCATACCTAATCAATATTATATAATGTCATCAGAGGCCAGTGGTGTTTATCACATCATGTTGAAGGAATCTTTTTAACGTATCATCGCGAAATTTAATCGTCATTTCGACGTCATTATGACGTCAGTCGGACGTCACAGTTTGATGAGTAAATGAAGTCAATACGACGTGAGTAATATGACGTCATAGGGCTGTGACTTATTCACGTCATTATCACGTCATGCGACGTCAACTACTGACGTCCCCTTGGTCATTCAAGTGACGTGAAAAATACGTCACTGGAACGTCATCTGGTTGCCTTGGATATGTATAGGTGGGTAAGGACCTTTATGGTAGATATACAAATTCGGTTCATCTGATGAAATCACTTCAAACTTTCAATACTGTTGAGAACATTGAAACTCATATATGTGATAATATCTCTAAAAGGGACAGACTTAAGGAACAATTCTCTTTGAACTCCCGGGGTATCATTTTTAGCTGTAGCTACTACTCAATACTGAGATTTCTGAGCGTTAGAAGAATTATTAACGAATTTAATCAAACACTTTGTTCATGAAGCAGATTCCAAAGAATTACTGCTCAAAAAATTCTGAAATAACTGGCTCATTATCCTCAAAAATCAATTTTCTATGAACTAGAGGAAGATGTTTGTTTCTTAAAAAATAATTTTCATTTCCTAGTATGCTATAAAGCCTTTCTCCCTCCTTCCCCAACAAATGCCTCAGGGCTTTATTTCTTTCCAACAATTTGGTATAATATTCTTTACCACCCTCTGCAAATATGGTACTTCTTTCTTTCAATTCTTTATCAATAGATTCCTCATAATACATTTGAGTCATATCTTTGGACATTGTGTATGAACCTATCATAAACAAACCAACCAACGTATACACAACTAATCTAACACCCAGAGGTTTAGCATATAAATTGAATTTCTGATTGAGATGATGGCTCACACCATATGTAACACCACATGCTGCTGTACTCAGTAAGACATCAAACATTGGTTTTCCAGTTTGTCTGTATTTTATTTCCCTTGCCATTGCATATAATTGGGCATTTTCTGATAGAAACAGAGAATTCAAAAGCTGTTGGCCAATTTCAGAATCCCAAACTATGGATTCCTGCATTATCTGAAATAATAAATATATACAGTTCTCAACACACTAAATGGACCACTGATAATTTGACACTATTTCGAAAACCTGTATTTTTTGGAAAAAATTGACCGATCTTCATGCGGTTTCCGATATCAGATGTGATATTTCATCGGCTTCAATGAGAGCTAGAACACTCTGAAAAAGTCCGCAGAACAAAACTCACACAGGGTGTAAAGTGGAACCATTACACTTGGTGCGTTCGGTTATAACATATCTGTTGGCTCGATTCCATCTGTTAGCTCGGAAAGCGTTCGATAAATCAGATCTACTTCCTCTGTCTAATCTGCTCCTTGTTCGTTAATTGTCAGAGCGAGCTGAAAGATGTAATCTGTTTGCTCCGCCTTGAGGAGCAGATCATTCAGATTTGATCTTGTTGTCAACTTGTGTCGAAAAATCAAAGACTTGATCAAGTGGAAACGAAACAAGAAACTGAATTTTGTAGAATCCTCCTTGCCCAGAATCGCCAGAATGACCGACGAATTTGCTGTAGGTAGCATATTAATTATTTATCTGTAATATATGCGATCACAACTGCCCTGATTCACAGTTAATGACCGATCATATGAGACAGAATCATTCCTTCCCTAGTTATTTTCACAATATAAACCCAAGTAAACAACAAACATTCAAAAGAACTTTGTTGCCCTGGCGTGTTTTTAAAAGTAATAAGGTTGATTGAATTGTTTGTTTTCTGTTACTTTTGACAGCTGGCGCTCGCAATCTACTACCTCGCTGAGCGTTCGTTAAATATATTTAGCTCTATCAGCTAGGTGATCACGTGACACCAAATCTGCATCTGCTCGCTCGGCTCCGATTTTGTTAAACCGAACGCACCTACTATAGGCGTTTTCGGATACTTACTCTGGGTTGATAACTCGATCCAGATAGGTCACGTGACAAAAAACTCTGATCATCTACTCGTGTTCAACGTTTACGAACGTGTCAGGTTAGGAACACTGAATATTATATTTTTTCTGTGGTTTCATGAATTTGACAGACGAAAATGGTCACATTATATTCAAGTAAATATTTGATCTGACTACAAATATTTATATTTACCTGTGGATTGGTGTACTTGCCTCATATGTGTTGGTGCACATGCAAATTATTTTATTATTATTGTTTTCGTCGAACGTAAACTCCCACATTTTTAGATTGACTTAAATTCCGTAATGCGCATGCGGTGTCCTTTGCAACTCTGGCGACGCTGCTTTTGAGTAGGGTCACGAAAAATCAACCCGTCTCTACTGTGACCCGAGTCAGTGATCGAGTTAGCATCATTCAAGTCTCCGAACAGAGGTAGGTAACTCGGTTTGGGTAACCGAACGTTCAGGTTAGGGATCCGAACAACCCGAGTAAGTTTCCGAAAACGCCTTGGGATGTACATTCTGAATCTAGTCATAAAATAGCTGATGGTGAAGAATATATAGCTAGCAAATGGCTAATGATAAGTAATGAAAAACGAATGAAAAAAATACAAGAAGTAGAACTGGAAAACAAAAACATCACAAATGCACTCAGAGCAAGAATGCAGAAGATAGTTGGCTTCATTCTGACAGGTTATGGTTTTGTGATTTATGCATTGAAATATCTCGAATAGACCTCGATCATAAACGAAAATATAATTGAATCAATGAATCACTATCGGGTACATCCAATGAGACTAAAATTCTAACTTCCTGTCATCGGTCAAAACAGAATGAAGCCGACACCCATGTCTACTTCCTCTTGTTGTGCCTGTCAGTATTTTGAATGGTGTGTTGAGTTCATTGGGTGTGGACGGACTTGAAGTATTAAGCGCTGTTGCAAGATGTAATCTGTAACTTACCTATATGATAGAGGAGTTTTATTGAGGAAAGAATTCATTAGCAAAAAATGACTGACAAGTTATGAATATTGTATCCCACTGCTGTTATGATATAGTAATTATGAATTCAAAGAACAATTTACGGAAATCTAGACATATTGATGATGTTGGCAACGTCATACTGTAGGAACGGTGGAGGAGCCAAGTTCCTCTTTTATTTATTTTTTCTGAAGTGGAATTTGATCTTAAGAAAAAAAGAAAAAAATACATATAAATTAATTTTTTACAAACTTCACAGTGAGATAACTTTAAAAACTTAAAACTGGTACTTGAAAGGTACTAAAACTGGTACTTAAAAGGTACTAAAACAAGTACTTGAATACTGAAGTACTTAAAAGGAGACTTAAAAGTCCAGTGCTAGTGTTAATTTTGATTACCAATTTCATTCAAATTACTTGCAATGTTGCATTGCAACAAACTTTTCCTGCCTAGGCAGAGAATGTACATATTTCCTGCCTGTTAAGTGTCATAGAAAAGCCACTTTTCTATGCAGCTTGGAGAAAAATAACTATTTCAGGTGTCAGAATATTTCAGTATAAAGGAGAGTTAAAACTAGTTCAAATTGAAGGTAATAATGCAATTTGTTGCCATTGGAGAAATTTTTAATGAAAAAAGTCATTTGAAATAATTCATAAAACAATTCACAGACTTGATTCATATGAATCAATTCATGCCAACCCTGGTTACAGCCCAATAATAAGAATGTAGAAACCAGGAACATGAGGATATTCACTGTATAAACTACAGAAGTTCTCACCTTTATTTTAGATCTATCTACCATTTCAGGACTGCTATAGGAAAAATTAATTGGTAATCCAACAATTACACCAAATCTACTGTAGGAACTTCCAGCACTTATCACCTCAAACCCATAAGAAAAAAATGGTTTATATAAATGATAATCTATTGGTTTCACCTGAAAAAAACAATACATTAGGTAAAAATAATGATACCCAGAATAATACTTAGTACTAAGTATTGCCTAAGACTGAACACTAAAAAAGGAAAAAAAGGAATCACTTATGAATAGACATTCACAAGAATTCAAACAATTTTCTGGCAAAGAGAGTGATGATAAATTAAAAAAACATGTTGATTGAATTGGGGTAATACAGATATCACTTTTCTAAATTTTGTTTGAACTTCAGCATACCTCAAGGAGCTTCAATGTCTTTTGGAACCTATCCTGCAATACTGGAGTAAGTGCAACAGATAGACCATTTCTGAAAGATGAACCGATTGAAATTGTCAGTGAAAAGTGATAATGGTACTTAAGTACTCACTTGTATAGATGAACCAGGTTCTTGTATTGCTCCAATAATATAGTGTGTGGTAAAAATGTTGCCACAAGTGTTGCTGTAGTAGCAGTACCAGCGGCAATGAAACTGAAATGTTTACCTTTATCTGTGAGAAGCCAAGCAGCCAATTTTTGAAAAGACATCGCGAAATTCACAAACAGATTTCAATTCTAAGAAAAATCGACTGAAAAATCACGAGAAAACAAAACATTAGATATCTTCTTCCTTTCGATTTGAATGGCCTTAGAAAACATTAGATATCAAATAAAATGGTTAATTCCATTTATTTCTAGGTCCATTTCTCTTCTTCGTGTATTTCATTTTGCTCTCATGTACTAGAATGCATGTTACCATTTGCCCTTTGCTTCAAATCAAATAGTCTAGTTACAAATGTTGCAATGATGGAAGAATTATGGAAGAATCCCAAGATTATTACTATTCTGACCAACAGTGTCAATAATAATAAGAAGATGTTTGGCGTTTGACAATTTGACATTATTTTATAGGTTAAGTTAAATTGTTTATAATTTTTCATTTTCGTTTCCCATCAAATAGTTGCTTTGATTTTTCTTTGCCAATGATAACATTTTCATGGCGGATAACATAAAGAAAGGAAGTGTTAATAATACCGGCCAGAATCGTAAAAAAAATTACAAAAGAACAAGTGAGGAGCACCTGCGACAGCCACGGCAACCGAAAAAAGTAGAAAGGGGTGACAATATAATCTATGTGTCTTCCAAAACAAATATAAAGGTAAAGCTTCTGCAGTTCACCCATAATTTGTCAATGGAATATATGATCAATCATGTCATAGATGATTGGAATTTGTCTATAGGTACCTAAAGTACCTATAGTTGGTGCAGTGATTTTCCTGAGCATTTATCTGTGTACAACCATAAGATGTAGGCAGTGGCATATTCAGTATATTATTCTGGCCAAACGGCACCATTTAGAAATCATAAATCAAATTAAACTGTATTGTTTGATCCAGGCAAACCTTGAACGTTGTCAAAAACTGATAAACAACAAGGAAGATGAAATCATCATTCATTGTCTAGGAGCAGCAATACAAAGGGGCATTTTGCTTGCCTTGCAGATATGTGAAAACAACATCACATTCAAGATTCATACCAATACCCTCACAACTGAACTAATTGGTAAGTTTTTCATGTATCCATAATTCATTTTCATTATCCTATTTATCTTAGGCCAATCTCAAGGGTAGAATAGTTGAAAGTTTAGGGAGCTCTTGAGTCTTGATCTCATCAGATTTTGGATTTATGCTTTTGAAGACTGTTTTATACATATGTAGCTGCTTAAAATTACATTAAGTTGTTCAGAATTCACTTTGCATTTATTCAAATTATTGTTGAGTTTCCTGGAAATAGGAAATTATGAAGGAAATGAGTAATATAATAAAATCTGCTGTTCCTCAAATTCCCCAGGTATCATTCCTGAAGACTGTTCTATTATTAATTCAGGAATTTGTAATATTTTAACTTTTAACTATGGTTAGACATGATATGTTTTGGTAGCTAGCAGAACCACCATGCAATATTTGATGTATTCAATCATAATGTTTAGATGCTCATTTGTTATTTTTTCTTCAATTCATTCATTTAATGAATCTACACATTTTGAAAATGGTTGTACAATTATTGTCGTACAATAGATTCATATAACCAGTTAGGAAATGCTTCATTTTTGTGATGGTGGAATTTTGCATGGGGGAGTGATTTAAATAATTGTTTTTTCATAGACCTCATAGTGGCTGTAGCCCAGAGGGAGGTATTTTAGGACATGTTCATTTGAAAAAGAGTTTTACCTTGATCCCATCAAAATGTCCTTGAAATATCTACATGGCATTTTAAATCAGCCTTTAAAGGCTGAGGTGATTTCTTGTAATTTTTCACTAAATAAAGTTGAAGGTATTCATTTTTTTTTGTGACGCCCCTGTATCAGTTTCATGATGCCAAAATTAAGTATAGTTGGAGACTTTTTCCCAAAAACAGCAAGATATGAAAGTAACACAAGGAATAAGAAGTTTGTTATTATTGCTATGAAAACCAGTGCCCTGTACAATGATATTCACCAAAAATATCTACTTTATAAGGTAATTCAAAGCATTGGAATTCTTTGCAGAGCAAGTATTCCCAAGAACTTATAATTTCCAAAAGTTCAAAAATATTCCAATACCTACCTTCTCTCCCGAGTTTTCTCCCTATCTCTCCTAGGTACGCACGATGTTCTCGGGACATTTTAATAAGAATTCTCTCTGGTGCACATCAAGAGATGAAAATAAATTGAAAGTAAACAAAACTTTGAGAAAAGCCTTTATTAAAATGCTCTAAAATTAAATTTTTCTTTCCAATTTTAACTGTCAACTTATAACCTCATTATACATAATTTGATGGTCATAAAAGCCTGTTTATGATCATATAAATTGTGTATAATGAGGTTATAAGTTGATAGTTGAAATTTAAAAGGAACATTTTATTTCATTCTTTTTAGAGCGTTTAAATAGAAGCATTTTCTGAGTTTTTGTTTTCAACTTTCAATTTATTTTTTACTTTTTAGTTATCGCCGGCTAGATTCCACAGTATAACGCCCAGCTCGCCAAAATACACAAGTCAAAGTTAATCAATCGATGTTACAGGCTTGAAAATCGATTTTTTCAAACCTGCATCTTTATTCTCAGCAAACCCTTCCATTTTATAGGAAAGCACAAAAAACTTCAATAGTGCCCCATATTGAATTTAGAGTGATGTCACAATATTTTAATTATTCTCGGCAAGTCCTCTTATTTGATAGGTACCCATATTGCAGAAGTGCATTAATAATAATTATTCCGCCATCTTGGATGCTCCGCCATATTGGATTTAGAATGACGTCACATTATTTTTCGAGTTGATCTTAAGGCGCACTTTCATTTGGCACTCATATTGTAGAAGTAGATTGGAAATAACTATTCTGCCATCTTTGATGGTCAGCTATATTGGATTAAGAATGACGTCACAATATTTTTCGAGTTACTCTCAACAAGCCCTTTCATTTGACACCCATATTGTAGAAGTGCATTGAAAATAACTATTCCGCTATCATGGATGGTCCGCCATATTGGATTTAGACTAACGTCACACACCTTATCGTGCATTGTCATCCAAAGTAAACGTGTATACAACATTTTAACTCAATCGGTTGAAGATATCTACTCAAATTGAGTTCAGAGATTCCATCCGAATACTTACATACATACATGTATTGTAAGTTATATAAAAGCGTTTAAGAACTGCAACGCTACTGTAGGTTATTCAGAATCTGTTTACACCAGAAGAAGCTCCATCTGACAATTGACAAAACCAATGGCTTGAATTATAATTGAGATTGACTTAATGAATGAAAAAACGATTTTTCATGGGAATATGGATATTTACACTCTGTTTCTCAAAAGTAAAACAAGTTGGGACGAATGATTATATGCACGATGTTCTTTGAACATTATAGAGATTCCCTTTCGTGCGCTCCAAGCGATTAAAAAAAATATGCTCCCTTCATTTAAAATATTTTCGACAATGCAGTGTAGCCACTTCTACTAGAAAGTAGTATCAACATTGATATTTCATATGGAACAAAAAATGCGATAAAATGCATTTTTAGGTTCTCCCTCACACTTGGGATCTATTGAATAGTGTCGACACAAACGAATCCTAAAGTTGAAAATCTCGATTTTGAACACTCTATATCTCTGTAATCATTTCCGATAGACCCTAAGTTTGATGTATCGATGAAATCAGCTCTTCAGGGAGAATCTAAAAATGCGATGAAATACTGGGTATTCTATTTGTAATAACAAAGTTGTTGCTACATTTTGATAGAAGCGGTAACACTGCATTGCTAAAATTATTTTAAACTGACTGATTCTCGATATAGAGATAGTGTTAGCTCGTCGTGACATACCCTGTAAAATAATACCTACTCTTTTCAGATGACTTGGAACCAGTCATCGACGATGCCGATTACGAAATCCAAAAACGTTACAACTCGGCTCTTCGAATAAGAGTCTTCAACACAAATCCGCTGGATAAACAAAAATAAAATGTTCTTCACAACAGAGGAACTGGTCAGATGGCTGGGTCTCACTGTATTCGAAATATGGATAAACTTAATATCATTCCTCTTGTTCACTATCATATTCGTGTTTAAGTACGATCCCAGCGTGGATTTGCACGCCAATGATTGGGGGATGATTTTTTTCCCGCTTTTCGCTGGTGACGCTCTGAACGCGTACTTTTGCATAATAATCTTCATAAGGATGTTGCTGGAAATGACTCTCAAGTTTTCGTTGCTGAGGATCACTTGGTCGGGGATATTGTTACTGATGACGTTTCTGTTCAAATATTTGTTGTATAGAAAACTGCTGGGCCAAACTAGCTTCGATTACTCGGAAGTGTTTGCTCCTCTTTTTATACTATTACAATTGATAGCTGTGAGAGCTTGTCAACAGAGTTGATTGTGAATTTTCTAGAGATGATAACTTTTATCATCCCGAGGGTTTGGAAGGAGAGATTCACTAATATACATTTTACTATGACGAGCTTAGGATTTATTAAAATATTCTGTAATATATTTTTCAGCTGACTTTCGATTCGCCATTTTATTAACTTTGGCCTGGAATTTATTCCCTTTCCCAGCTCCTTTTCCGTCCAACAATTCACATACTCTGAAAAAAAAAAATGGATTGTTCAGTCACATTTGGTAGGTCAAATCAATACATATCCTGAAAATATTCCAGGAAAAAATTCATGCTACCTGTAATTAGCCATCTTTCACCTATGAAAAATAATTGAAGGGGCAATCGGAAGAAGGGGTTTAACATTTTCTGAAAATATTCGGTTATGTCATGGAAGAAGGTGTTATGTGCATATGTAACTTGCCCTGTCAGGATTTGTTTCCATTCTTCATATCTGAGTAGATACACAGTGGCAGAACGGGCTAAGTTACACAAAACATCTAGGACGCAATGGAAGAAGGAGCTAAGGGGTTATGTACGCATGAATCCATATGTATATCAAAAAAATAATATGATAGCAAAATGCGGTAAATCACAAAAAAACAACCTAAAACTATTCCTCACAATTGCATAAATCAAATCACCAAACTGGCTTTCATTAAAAAATGCTAACTAACTTTACAAAACCTATTTTTCTCACTCAATTATTAGTAGAACAATTTGTTTCTTTGACGTCGGTCTTTTTCTGCAACTGAGGCTAATCACGGACGCCGGTGAGCACACAACCCCCAACCGGGAATTTTTCCGAATCCCCTGGTGTTCCAACCAGAGGTAGGGATCTTTAACGAGTCCAACATCCATGACCTCGGGACCGACGGATTAACGTCCTCTCCGAAGGACGGCATATCCGTAACATATCTTGTGCTCATTGATATGGTAGCTGTAGCTATATGCTATTTCGCTACAGATGTGCGGGCTTACGCGTCGTTTCCTTGAATGGTCACCCACCCATCCAAGTACTAACCAACTGACACTGCTCTACCTCAGATATCGAACGGCTAGTGCCTTACCTGAGAAGCTAGGGCGGTTAGTAAAACAATGGTTTTAGATTTATAGGGTGAGTCGGTCAGGTTAGGTTAGGTAAAAGGTTCGGTAGATCAAAAGTTCGGTAGGCCAAACGTCTGGTAGGCAGATTATTCTAGTACTATGAAGTTTCTTGGATACATTACTTTCATTGATATTAGAATATCTTCAACTTACTTCTGTCCCAAATCAGCCACAGCCTTCTCATCACCGTACAACACAATATTTCCTGACTGTTTTTCATCGCCTGTTGAAAGAAACAAGAATATCTCGGTTTTGCCAAGCTCTTTGATGAACGTATTCATGAAATCGGGTTCGGCCTCCTTTCTGTGCAACGAAAAATACTTTGGTGGATGCGGCATACTCTTCAGTTTATTCACTTCTAATATTGCAATATCTTTCAAAAGAGTTTGCATGTTTTTATTGAGAGATTTGACATTTTTCTGGAGTTTTTCAATCAGCTCAGGATGTTGTGACGGATTATTGCTAAAAATGTGTCGATTAAATAAACACATATTATATTGTTCACTAACATAAATTTTTACAAAACTCCTCAGATCCAGAGCCTCGAACATCTCGTTACACGCCCTTTAAAGAGTGTGGACACGCTTGTCACCACTGACATCATTCTCAGATTCAAAAAATGTCAGCTCTGAAAATTGAATAGGCGTCTTTAAAACATATTTGTGACTCATGCTTTTTGTTTGGTGTTTAACATGACAATAAGTGTGTCCACACTCTTCAAAGGGCGTAAAATGAGATGTTTGAGGCACTCTACTCAGATCAACTCAAATGAGACCCTAGAATCAAAGAGAACCTTTCCCATGAAACTTAATATTTACATAGAAATAACAAAGATGTTGACAAGCTTCAAATCCATGTTGCCAATTTGCAGATATTTAGTGAACTGGACATAAGTTCCTGAATCAATAAATGGGAGCTCAGACCAAATGCAACTGAATGACAGTTCATTTTCAAACACCAAATATCGTCAAGTAGATAAACACATTGAAGCACTGGCATAATATTAAAAATACCCTCTATCACTTTAGAGAATTCTATATTCCTCAGTTTTGAACACTTGTTTCCATAGACTTATTATTGGTGATAAAATGATCCCATAAATCGTTTATGAAAATTAGGAAAAGAGTAGGGCCCAAGATTGTGCCTTGGGGCATCTCGTGTTTCACCCAAGCTTTGTTGGATGCAAAGCTGTTATGTGTAATTACATATCATTGCCTGTATATTCTATATAAGAGGTCGTGCGAAAGTTATAACAGCTTCTTTGAAATTTTGATAAGATGGCATCTTATACCTTACACTTTACGATAACCAAAACTCAGATTTGCATTGATGTTGACGTGTTCTGCGGCACTGTAGGGAGCTTGAAAATATTACTAAGGTCTTTTGTTGATCTGAGGATGAACTTACTTCAGCAGGGCGGTCAGTCTTCTTTCCCGATCGATACAAACATCCAATCTGTTTAGAACTCTGTTTCCAACCAAGAAATGCAATAATATTTTATCTTTCCTTTTACTCTTCTCTGTGTGCAGCAATTTTATAACTTGCAACTGACTGAGGTTTGTGACGTGTGTGCCACAACACATGTTGCTATCAATCCCTTCTATATTGATCACTCTTATGTCGCCCACATGATCTGCAGGAAGATCCTTGGCGCTACGTACCTTCAAATAGGGTTGGTTTTACTCTCATTATGAAGGGTCTGCTTAGGAAGGTGCCCCCTTTTATATAGAGGCTCGGTTGTAGGTAAAATTTTCTCACGAAATATATACATTAATACATCAAATATTACATGTACAAAATTTTGTTATTTTACCACAAAGGGTTTAAGAAATATTGACATAAAACCATCATCTCAGACTCCCCTTTGGATGTCTATATAACCCCCCAGGGGGGCATTTCTGGACCCATGTTTATATGAACTTGTTTTACTGTTTTTGTTCCTACAATCTGTTGTTGAAATATGTCTATGTAATTTCGGGACACCCTGTACATAATATAGTCTTACCAATTCCAATTCCTCTGCAGGTGTGTCTTTGGAAAGAATGGTGACTGTCACAGTTTTTCCTTGCCTTATATATTGATTCACTTTCTCTTCTGTTTTTTTTATCTGCACATCAGAAATTTTTTGAATATCTATAGAAACAAAATATGTTCATGTCAAGATCAGTTTGAGTAAAAAAAAACTAGTTTTAATAACTTAATATACAGTAGTAAAGATTTTGATTCAGGTCAATATTTTTTCTCATGAATGAATGTCTCTATCTTTCCAGTTACTATCAAAGTATTCGCGATATCCACAGAAAAAGCGACATCAGTCATCAACATTTATAAAGTTACATTATGAACTCCGGGAAGAACAAAACAAGTGAAAAAAGTCAATGGAAAGCTGTCAAAGTCATTGTTAAGATTGCTATAATGTCACTTTATGTGGTGATCATTGTGGTGATAAATTATCCAATATTTCCTTTTGTTCGCATAAATTGATGAGTAAATCGAAAAAATACGGGAGTAAAATAATTATACATCAGAAAATGTTTTGACGCACTTCTTCCCAAAAAGGCAGGAATTGGCAATTGCAGTGAACACTTCAGTTTGGATCAGGAAAGTACCTATACATGTTTTCTGTTGAATATTCCGAATATATATTTTTATCTGAAAGAATGCAAATTCTCAACTTCAGAAGATTCAAATTCAAAATCTACCTACCGATTTACATAATTATATCAGTGAAGCAATGCAAGAATGCAGAACTTTAAAGACCAAAACCGTTGATTGATATATTACGCTTCCAAAACCTTGTAAACAAAGAACAAAAATTCATCTATTTCACATCTTCTATCTGGCACAGGAGAACATGGTTGTCATGGAATCTGCTTCCCCTTCGACCACAGGCCAAATTTTCCCACTCAAATCACAGAACTCAAGGTATTTGAGTTCTGTGACTAAAATACTCAATGATACAAGCTAAATTTATGTTCACAATAGGCATTTGGAAAATTATAATTTGGAAGTCGAGATAAACCACCAAAAGAACATATCAGAAATGACATACCTAGTTCAATGTAAGATGTTTCTTCACCTAGCCACCATGAGACAGTGGGTGACTGAAACTCCTTCTCTAGAACAGCAGAAAGGAGATGCTGGCCAGAATGCTGTTGCATGTGATCAAATCGCCTTTCCCAATCAATTTTCTGCACAACTTCTGTCCCAACCTCTAATGGTTGATTAACATAATGTATTGCTTTATCTTCTCTCCTCAAAACTTGTTTGACTGGTATATCGTTCAGGAAACCATAATCACATGGCTACAATATCAATATAATATACCAAGGGCGAATATGAGTGAGAAACTACCATTCCTACTCACTGGAATGGTGGCCATTCATTGAATCTTTTAATCTCTTACAACTCATTGGTTTAATAGATTATTATTAGATTGGGCTAATCAACTATCAGTCTCTGAAGGTTTATTTGAAAAGTTCAAAAGTTGAAAAATGCATACACTACAACAAAATATTTGGAAACTTCTGGATTAGAATTAGAAAATGTGAAGAAGAAAATACGAGGTTTACTCAATCAACGCAAGGTTTATTCATTAGATGAATTCTTAAACTATTACTTCTTTTCTAAACAAATAGTAATTCATTATCCAAGGGAAAAAAGTAGTAGAATGCGTCGGGAGACAAAAAACCGTGAGCCAAAATCTAATATTTTTCCCGTGTATAATACACGTGACGAGAAAAAGGACGAATCAATATTTAAATCAGAAAATTTGAAGTTTTTGACAGGGATGACACCTGCGTTGCAGACAATCTAATTCTGTGATTTGATTTTCAAAAATTGCGAATTTAGTGGTTGTTTTGTAACTCATCTATCCGTGAAGTCGAATGGATGATAAAAGGATTCGCAGTTCTTATTTCTCTAATTGGCTTGATTTTCGGAACTATAGCACAACAATCGCCTAAATGAACCTTCTTCCTAGAAAGTATATTTTTCAGAAAATCACTTGAGAGAACAAAAGAGACTACTGCTTCTAAACAACCTAAGCTGACTTGGTCTGAATGAACCTTCCTTCCGTCATTACAGGGAATGCCTGAAACTATTAGGCAAACGGTGTACGAAATTTAGAGTTAAGGTGAGTTCCCAATGCATCGTTTTTGCTTTTCGCGTCACGCGTCACGCACTCTGATTGGTGACGCGTAATTCGGAATTGCTGTACCGCTTTTTTGGTCATTATTTAGTTCCCAATGAATGATGTTTAGCTATGTCGTTATTGTCAGGTAAATGTCAAAAGTAGATGAAAATAATCTAATAAAATGGAAGCAAGAAACAAAAATAAATTGAGAAAATTGCTGCTATTAGCTTATCTACTGAGAAAACGAAGAAGACAGGGAAAAATAAGATCATGCTGGGTCAGACCTACCATTACAGTTGATGATTTCAGTGTACATTCCACAGTGATACTGTAATTATTTAACAATCATTAGACCATTCTCAACAATAAGAATAAATAAACTTACACTTAGAACGTCCTCATTATCCATAGTTCATACCTGTATTTACTTTAATAAAATTTGAAACTATTGAAAGTTTTTCAAGACATAACCTCAATTCAACCGCAAACAACAGCCCAAAATCAAATATAAATGACATATCACCTAGCAGCAACGCCAGAAAGTTAAAATATTTTAACTTCATCGCTTCAAATTATACTCGAATTCCGCGTCACCAATCAGAAAGCGTGACGCGTGACGCGAAAAGCAAAAACGATGCATTGGGAACTCACCTTTACGTTGTTTGCCGGCAATATGTGAAATGACTAGCCATTTCACTCCCCTATTTTGTCAGTATTATTTGTGTTGTGTATTTTGGTATCCAGCTACTGATATAATTTATTTATAGAAACTTTATTGACTATAAATAGAAAGTAGGAATGTTTTTGAACAAAAATAAAAATGATGAACTCCTTATGTAGAAAAAATACAAGTATTTGATTTCTGTTTCAAAATCCATTATATAAAATAAATATGTATAATACCTCAGATAAGTTATCAGTTATCATCTATTCGATTTTGTAACATTTATTTGATTATAATCCCCAATAATACATAAAATAATATTACCCTTGATATTTCCTTTAGGTAAAGGCGCACTTATCATCGGATGTTTGTTTTTAATTTTTTTTGTACTCATGTATTTTCGTCTGAAAAACATGAATTCCACGATGAAAATCATCATCTTGGATATTCATTTACATCTACTTGTCCTTTTTCCATCACTGGACACTATATATGTATATACTCACGTTGTACTTCAATAACACATTTTATTTCCTAAAATCAACAAGAGGTATGGTTCATATGGAATTTTTTCATACATGCAATTGAGGTAAACAATAGTTTGGTTTATAGCAATTTTTTTGATATTTTATGTAGCTGTAAATGATTATCCAAGATGGGTGGCCAAAAGGAGGTGAAACTTCGAACTTTTTCGGAAAATATCTGAATAGTAATTTTCCTTGTGGAATTCGTGTTTTTCAGCCGAAAATACGCAAGTACCTACCAAAAAACATTTTCGAAAAAAAAAACCATCCCATGATAAGTGCACTTTCACCTCGACCGCAAAATCGAAAAAAAAAAAAACAACTTCAATGCTCTGAATATTTTTTCATTGAGGCATATTCCGTCTTATTGCCATATTTTGGTCCAAACAATCTGCCCTTAGCGCCTTAGCCTACGTCCCAATAGTTATGACTCACCCTGTATATAGGCACCTTTTTATTTCATACTTACTTGTCCACCCCCTTCAGGAAACAGTATTGTATTTTCTAAAATTACTTCAAAGCCTTCATTATGGGAGATTGCTTCTTGGCAAACTGCAACCTTGGTAGTAAACTGAAATACACTTTCAATTACAGTTTTAGAACGTTTGTTTAATTTTACTGACCTCTTTCAAAAAAGAATCTTCTTGGCATTTGAACACCATTCTACCAGAGTTCTAATCTAATAATTATTCCAAAGATAATTATTTCGGAAGAATCGGAACGGAAGACAAAATCTCCATATAACCACAAAACACAAAAATAATTAAATTCTGCTTCTCATCACTTATCAAATAATTATTATTATTCTATTCAACGTCCGCCCTTAATCATTAAAGTGACGGTGACCAAATGGTAAATTGGCAAATTCTAGAACTTCTACTTGTAATCGAGTGACTGACACTAGTGACACTGTCACAGTGACAGTAATGACACCATATACCTACTAAATAACTGGGGACAATTTGTATATTTGTAATCATTTCTGAGACGATCACCTGATCCTGACATGAATGAATCATGAGTATATTTATTTTAAACAATTCTACAAGAATAATTACCAGATTTGAAGTGATACCTACATTAAAAGAAGTGATAATTAACTATACTGTATATGAAAAATGATGAAACTGAAGTTTTAAAATGTATTCGAAGAAATGGGCTATCAGCTCTTTTATCTGTTTTATATTTTTGTGGAATATTGCCCTATTAGAAAACACGAATAAAGTGACGAATTCAGCAGACAATGCTCATGTAAAGAATTCAAATGATTCGACGGACGCAGTAAAACATGGACCAAATCTAGGACCCAAACAAGGGGAGATCAATGCCACAACATCAGCTCCATCAAGTAACCATAGTATCACTCCAGCCGATTCCAATAATTCAAAAAATCCCACTGATAGTACACCAATAGATAAAAATATTACTAAAACTACTACCATTTTGAATGTTACAATTCATAATGATACAACCACTCATGAAACAATTGATCCTGTACCAGTCTTACCAGCTAAAGAATCTGCAGAAGATGAGCATAACAGCTCTATGGCAATATTTTTTGTATTATGTGTTCTAGCACTAGGAATTCTACTGATACATCTGATGCTCCAGACCCATTTTCAGTATGTTCCAGAAAGTGTAGTTATAGTGTTTCTTGGAGCTCTAATAGGTCTCATTATGAATGCTCTATCAAGCAGAAATATAAGCAACTGGAGAAAGGAAGAAGCATTCTCACCAACAGCTTTCTTTCTGATTCTTCTACCACCCATCATATTTGAGTCAGGATATAACTTGCACAAGGGTAACTTTTTTCAAAACATAGGCTCCATATTAGTGTTTGCCATTCTTGGTACTACCATATCTGCTTTTGTGATAGGATTTGGAATATATTTTCTTGGCTTAGCTGATGTTGTTTATAGATTAGGATTTGTTGAGTCATTTGCCTTTGGGTCCCTGATATCAGCTGTGGATCCTGTAGCTACTGTTGCAATTTTCCATGCCTTGGATGTTGATCCCATTTTGAACATGTTAGTGTTTGGTGAGAGTATTTTGAATGATGCCATTGCTATTGTCTTAACTAATGCAGCTCTTGAATCTAATAACCCAGATATGAATACTGGAGAAGCTATTGTTCTGGGTATTCAGAGATTCTGTTTGATGTTCTTTGCTTCTGCTGGCATAGGGGTGTTGTTTGCCCTTGTGAGTGCATTGTTGTTGAAACATGTTGACTTGAGGAAGAATCCGTCCTTGGAATTTGGAATGATGTTGGTGTTTACATATGGCCCATATGTATTAGCAGAGGGTATCCATCTTTCTGGAATAATGGCAATATTATTCTGTGGTATAGTAATGTCCCACTATACTCATTATAATCTCTCCACAGTTACCCAAATAACTATGCAGCAAACACTTCGAACTCTTGCATTCATTGCTGAAACTTGTGTTTTTGCCTACTTAGGTTTGGCCCTGTTCAGTTTCAAACACAGGGTAGAACCAGCCTTTATAGTGTGGAGCATCATTTTAAGCTTGATAGGCAGAGCTTGTAACATTTTTCCTCTGGCTGTCTTAGTCAATAGATTCAGGGAACATCAAATCACCAAGAAGATGATGTTCATCATGTGGTTTAGTGGCCTGAGGGGGGCCATCTCTTATGCTCTATCTCTCCATCTCAACTTCAGTGATGAAACTAGGCATGTTATCATAACCACCACTCTGATAATTGTACTGGTAACTACACTCTTCTTTGGTGGTTCAACTATGCCCCTACTGAAATTCATGCAAGCCACAAAGAATCCTTCCAGACGATTGAAGAAGAGGAAGAAAGACAGAGAAGTCACTTTGAGTAAAACCAGAGAATGGGGACAAGCTTTGGATTCTGAACATTTGTCTGAGACTACTGAAGGAGAAATGGAGGTCTCATTTATATCCAATAGAATAAAAGGATTTGCAAAGTATGATCTGAAGTATCTGATACCCTTTTTCACCAGAAGATTCACTCAGCAGGTAAATTGTTTTATTTGCTTTGATAGTTTGTCTCAAATTTTTCAAATTTATGCCCTTCAAGATTAATAATGAGAGTTGGTATCATGAGTAATTATGAGAGGCTTCTCTTAGTTCAATTTTATTATAAAAAACTCCCTTATCATTTTGCTCTAAATAGTTGCAAAATTTCATGTACTTTGATTTTGACTTTAACAGTTGAAAACCTGCATCCATATACTTCATTGGAAATGTAATTTCAAGTTGAAATCATGAACTGCTGTACATGTCAAAATATTGAAGGCTCATTGATGAAATTTATTCTATTTGCTGGATTTATAAACTCAAGTAAACTAAGAATTAACAATTGAATGAAGAATCCCAGAAGCTCATTTGTTGAATAATTCCAATGGACCAACCATCTTCCAAAGATTGTTAATTCTCAGTTTAGTTGACACAATCATTGTCAAAAGCCAGTTTTGGTGTTATGTGCATATAACCTTGCCTTTTCCTAAACATACTCTGAACTAAAAGACTATCAACAAGTTCAATATTATCATGAAATTGCGGAATTCTTCAACAAATGCACAGATAAAAATGAATGAAAAAAATACCGATCACTTATGCATAATCCATGATATCCATAATAATTAATGAAATTATTTTGCAACTTTAAGGGGTGCGATTTTTGATGAATAACTGATATTTTCTCCATATGATTTTGAACCAATCAGAATGTTCAATTGAGTTAGGATACCTTGTATAATTTCGAATATATGTCGGTATAAATAGAGTAACTCTGCTAATCAGAAATTTAGAATTAATAATCATAAAATGTTGGCTCTGAAAAAATAATAACATGGAAAACAATTCGAACTTCAAACTATTCAGATTCACAAAATAAATCCTTTTGTTTGTATGTATTGAATTGAATAGGCTCTGAAACTACTGGATCGATTTGGCTGAAAATTGGGGGGGAGGTAGCTTAGAAGCTTAGAACCAGGAGAAGGTTGTAGGAAACTTTTTATCCCGGTACCATTAGGAAATTCAAGATGGCGGATCTACTATATCGGACGAGTTTTGTAATTATAATCCGGGTTTTCGTGCTCGGGTATTATGTGATTAAGAAATTCAAGATGGCGGATCCAAAATGGCGGATGTTGTAATTAGGATCCGATTCTATTCAAATTTGGTATCTGGTGGTTCTCGGGGTCGGAGATTATGATTTTTTCGTCAAAATTAGGTAATTCAAGATGGTGGACCCAATATGGCGGACGAGTATTGTAATAATTATGATCCGACTCTCTACAAAATTGTTATCTGGGTGTTTCGGGGTCGGAGGTTATGATTATTTTGTCTAAATTTGGAAAGGTCGGGATTTGGAAATTCAACACGGTGGAACCAATATACCTACCGGATGAGTTTTGTAATGATATACCGATTCTATTTAGGGATCGAAAATCATTATTCCTTGGTCAAAATTAGGGAATTCAAAATGGTAGATCCAATATTGCGGATGAGTTTTGTAATTATGTTCCGATTCTATTCAAAATTTTCTTCTGGGGTTTTAGGAGTCGAATATCATGATTCGTTCGTCAAAATTGGGAAATTCAAGTGAACTAAAAAGAAGTTGAAATAAATGGTAGTTTGAAAAACTAAAGAAACAGAAAGAAAAAATCATAATCTCCGGCGCCGAGAACCACCAGATACCAAATTTGAATAAAACCGGATCCTAATTACAAAATCCGCCATTTTGGATCGGGATCGCCATCTTGATTTCCGTAATTTTGACGAAGGAATCATAATCAGCGATCACGAAAACCCGTAGATGCCAATTTTGAAATGAATCGGATTATAATTACAAAACTCGTCCGCCATATTTGTTCCGCCATTTTGTTTTCCGAATTCCGCCCGAATTTTCAAATTCCTACGAATGAATCATAATCTCCGACCCAGATACCAATTTTGAATAGAATCGGGCCATAATTACAAAACTCGTCCGTTATATTAGATCCGCCATCTTGAATTTTCTGATGGTACCGGGATAAAAAGTATCCTATAACCTTCTCCTGGTTCTAAGCTACCTCCCCACCAATTTTCAGCAAAATCGATCCAGTAGTTTCGGAGCTATTCAAATCAAATATTTCCTCTTTATGATATTAGTATACATATATAATTTAGTTGGTTTCACAAGGAAGTTTGTTAATTTTATATGGAAAGCAATCAGGAGCCAGGGGGGCTCCACTGTTTTGTTGCCCTAGGGCCTCCAGACCCCTAAATCCGGGTACTGATAATAGTGATAATAAAAATATCATTTTTTCTGTGACGGGAAAAAAGTTTGGCATCTCATCTCTGTTGGCAGGTTATAAAATGTCACTTTTCGTAAATTACTTTTTTCCGTGGGAAAAAAATGAGTACTTTTTTCCCGGATATATACCACATATATATACAATGTTGATGGCTTTTGTTGTGCTATTGTTCCGAAAAATGAGTCAATAATACGAATAAAAAAAGAACTGCAATCCCTTTTATCTTCTATTTGACTTCGCGGTTACGTATATTACTGAACAACCACTAAATTCGCAATTTCTTGAAATCAAATCACAGAATTAGACTGACAGAAGTGACATCATATATTTGATTACTTCAAAAGAATGATAAAGATGCCTACAACGCAGGTGCCCCTACTGTTAAAAACTTAAAATTTCACGTCGATAATTCTCAGATTTCAAAATAATGTGATATCTTCTCAATATTGATTCGTCCTTTCTTCTATCACAAAAAAAATAGTGTATTATACACGGGAAAAATATTAGATTTTAGCACACGGTTTTTTGTCTCCCGACACAACCTGGAGCTAAAATCTACTACTTTTTTCCCTTGTGTAATAAATAACTATTTTTTTTTGTTTTGTTCCTGTTTTGCTATGGAACAGGGGAATATCGGATAAATGAGAAAACTCTTTTCAGGAACTGAAGGACTGTAAGAGTCAAATGACCGATTTGACTAACCAGTGGTACCAAGCCATAAGGATATCTCCAGATCAGTCTGACGAAGAAAGTGCCAATACAGGAACTACCGGAAGGTCTAGCATATCTAGCATAGTTCGCTGACTGCTGAGTATTTTTCCGAGTTTTCCTTCAGGAAAATCAGCGAATAAAATTGAGAAACAGTATTGAAAATTGGGTGGATTTTTAACTAGTCAAAGAATATAATAAGTACTTATATCCATTTTCATCAGTATACACCCTTAAATGAATTGTGTTATTTATTGTTATGTGAGAATGTGGTTGTGAACAGTCCCAAGGACTTTAATGCGATTTTGTAAAATGTTTGGCCAATATGAATATTAATATATTATTCTTGTCAACATACTAGTGTTTCAATAATACTGGTTCTCATTTGATGAAAAAAATGCAGCATTATAAAGTTGATATACAGGGTGTATCTAAATAACACCAAAAATTGAAGGGGTGTTTCCTTGTGACATTCTAGCAAATAAAGTTCATATAAACAAGTGTCCTAACTTACTCCGTTTTTGAGATACAGGATGTTGAAGTTGGAAGTATTAATTGTTTTTGTTTATAACCTCATGGTGCCAAAATTCAGTATGGATGGAGACTGAGGAAGCCCCAAAATTTCGAAACGATTCTAATTGGGGTTATTGAGTAATCTCAATGGAAGTTTTGAAAACACCTACATTCAAATTTGGAGTCAAATCGAATTTTTATTGTTTCCTCAAAAACTAAGCTAGATACAAAAATCACACAGAGGATAGATGTTGTTATTTTAATAGTTCAATCTGATAAAAATATGAAACTCAGAAAAACCAGAGGTGTACAATGACATTCAACATGAATATCGATAAATTTACCCACTGTGACGTCAACTGGGAATATTATTTTGAATCTAATTGCACTAGAAGAAGCTTCATGTTACTATTAACAAAACCACAACGTTTTAGTGAAATTGATGTAAAAACAATTGAGAAATGAAGACAAAACATTTTTCATGGAAATATTAATACCCTGTATCTCGAAAACGAAGCAAGTTAGGACACATGGAATCACCCTTTGAATTTTTTCAGTGTTATTCAAATACACTATGCTAAGGAGAAAAGTTCATATCAACATTGAACCTCTCAGTTTTTGAGCTACATGGTGTTGAACTTTTGAGAAAAAAGTGGGTTTTTCATCATAATTTTTCATCACTCCTATATAGATATTTTCATGAAATTTTGTACACACCTTTTCATCATTGAGGAGCATTTTTTGACGAAAAGATGTGAAATGTTCATCAGTGACGTCCGTACAGGGTTAGAACTGACAATTTTTTGAGAAAATATGTCACTGATTTTTCTGAAAACCAAAATTATTTTTGAATTCTCCATTCATTTTGGACCATATTTGATGCCAAGACTTACTTTCATAAGACGTACCGTTTTCGCGTGAAAAATGAAAATCAAATAATGTTGTTTCTGAGATTATTTTTTTTTTTTAATTTAGTAGGCACTCACTATGAGTAATAACACATTTTGTTTTGTTAATTTAAAAAACGAATGTACACTTTCTGTAGTTTTAATCTTCTCCTGAAGATGCTAACATAGTTAGCGAAACACGTGTCGAGGCGTTAAAAAATCCGTTTGGTTAGTGGTAAAACAGTGTAGTGTATTATCGTGCCAAAGGTTCCAGTCTTCGATATATTCTAGATGTTAGTTCAAGATTTCTGGTGAAAAAACTATATTCAAGAAAAAATAAATAAATTCAAAGATGGCCAACAACATTATCATATGCTGAAGTATTTCTTTATGCTTCATTGAATTTTGTTAAGCCTTCAGCGGCACTTATTATTATTGGCAATATATAAGTCATTTGTGACGTTTATTTACGAATAACGTCATATTTACGTGAAAAACTGACGTAAATATTATGTGACATAATGACGTCTAATATACGTTATGTTTACGTTTTTTTTATCGCTTGGAGCGCACGAAAGGGAATCCCTATAATGTTCAATATTATTGGGTGATTTGACGTTCATGATGACCAAAAATTTACGTCAAAAATACCTACGTCATCAGGTTTCCTGGGTTCATGATTCGATAATATAGAGGTTGTTTCAATTGAAATAAAGATTTTGAATGATTTCATTTGTAATGTTCAGTAAGACCCTCCTGAATTTCCAATCGAGAAATTATGAAATTGTAAATCCCGAAATAAGCAGATAGATTTGATATAATGAAAGAACAAAAAAGACAGAGTAACGAAGTAATTATATTTATTTGAGATAAGTAAGGATTCCATATTTATTTCATAACAAATTAAAACGAAGAATAAAAATGAAAGGTACATTTCACAGATCGAAAATACAGAACTTGTAGATAATTTAAATCCATATATCACCTATTTCAAAATACTATTCATAATAAATAAAAATGGTTAGTTATCCTGGACTGAACCTAGCTAATATTTATATTTGACTATTATTTTCTTAAAAACGACAATATATAAATGCCAAATTCAAAAATAAGTATATCATAACAAAAATGTTTTTTTGCATTTTGATGTTGATATATAATCAACATGGAAATAAAAAATGCAATAAATTGTCTACAAAGCTATTATGACATATGCATTCTATTGTATAATGTATATGTAAAAGAATGATGATTGCAACTCAAAACGGCCACTTACTGATATGGAATCTATTTAAATCGAGTTCTATGGACTGTAATTTTTTCGAAGGCAATTTTTCTCATTTAATTACCAACCAACAAAATTCTCATTGAAATTTCAAGTTTTCTTCAACAAAAAAATCTGTCCAGTAATTAGGTATCATATATTTGAATACACGGATTGACGTTGCAATCTTTTTTTTTATACAAAATATTATTGACCAAGAAAATGCATAGTGTCATACCGACTTGAGAGTTGACAAGAGTCAATCAGCTGATGTCAAAGTATTTGTTCTTAATGTCGATTCGTTTAATGTTTTTGTTCATTGAGGCTATTGGGATGATTGTTAGCTTGCACATTTGGCTGTTGCTGATTTGTCATTTTTTGTTGGGCTGGGTTCACTTCATTGGTGTTCAAATGGTCCTGAGGAACTCCACCCTGCTAAATCACAAGAATCATTGTACTATATCAAAGAAATAACTGAAACTGATTATTCTACCTTTAGGACTTATACCCTCGTTCAATTATCCTATTTTTGAATTCACTCATGTACCAGTTGTTACCTGACTGTTAAAACGGCAATAATATAATAGAATAAGTCATCTATTATTATTTGCAATTCACTTATTCTACATGTGTCTCCGAGTTCATAGTGTCTGTGTTAATGTGTTATAACTGTGGTTGAATATTTCCTATTTCCTGCTAAGCTTGATTTTTTTTTCAAAAATGTTCTGTGAATCTTGTTTTAACAGTTCTTCTTGTTTGACCAACACCTGTTTTCCCGCAATCGTTTTGATTTCCTAATATAACACCTAATTTGGATCTGGATATAAGTATGCTCAACTGGAAGTCTAAATATCTGAAAACCTCACCGAGTCTTCTACATACTCGGGGTTGAATAGAATTGAAATGATTCTTCGATTGTTTTCATCTACTTGAGGAGTAGAGGAATTCAATTACAATGGGGCAAATCAGAATAAAACATGTGTAGCATTCAAAGTTTTGCCTTAGAACCTTTGCATTTTGAAACCCTTTTATTTGTATCCCATACTTACTAATCAACTTATTACTTATTCTGTGATGAAAAAAGTTGTTTTATGGAAATTGCTAAAAGGAAATTTTCGAAAGCTCTGCAAATTACAACTCCTATTTTTGAAATTGAACTTCAATTGAGGTCTTTTCTATCTTGAACGAGAGAGAGGAAAGATCTCTCCTCTTCCATCTTTCTCTTCAATGATACCAACGTAACCGCATTGAAATATAGTAAGGTCCGATAAATCTGTCTTTGTCTAACATCTCATGTGCCACTGGACTATTTTTGAATTCAGCAGAGAGTCGAATTTATCGTTATTAACAAATTATGTCAAAATAAGTATGATATGATTCGAAATGTAATTTAAAGAATTCGAGAGGTTACCAGTCAATGACATTCATGACATTGACATGTCACATCATTATAACATCGAAAATTGTTCAGTGGCAGAGTAGACGTTAGAAAAGGAAAGATTTATCGGATCTCTCTATATTTCGATGCCGCCACGTTGGTAGAAGAGGAGAGAACTTTCCTCTCTCTCGTTCAAGGTAGAAAAGAGCTCAATTTTGGTAGAGATACATTTTGAAATAGCAATGAATATTTTTTGAATTGAAAGACTATTCATACATCATGAATACGTATGCCATATAAGTTACCGAATAAAATGAAATCAACAGTTACAACAATAATTAATTAACATAACATGCTTTCGTGGGCAAATATTATAATGAACGAAAATGAAACATTTGCAATCAATTCTAGAAATACTCACACTGGCTTGATGCTGAGGAGCTCCTTGTTGCTGCGCCTGCGCCTGTGGATGCTGTACCCCACCACCCGCATTCTGTCCACCTCCCTGTGGAACCTGCTGCTGGTTCCCACCCTGTGGAACCTGCTGTTGGTACCCACCCTGAGGCACCTGCTGTTGATACCCACCCTGAGGGACCTGCTGTTGATACCCACCCTGAGGTACCTGCTGTTGGTACCCACCCTGAGGTACCTGCTGTTGGTACCCACCCTGAGGTACCTGTTGGTAACCTCCAGGTGGTCCCTGTTGATATGCGCCTGGTGGAACCTGTTGGTTACCGCCGTGCGGTACTTGGTTACCACCTTGTGGTAATTGTTGGTATGCACCTGGTGGTGCCTGTTGGTGAGTACCTTGTGGTATTTGGTTACCACCTTGTGGTATCTGTTGGTAAGCACCCGGTGGTACTTGTTGGTAAGCACCTGGTGGTACTTGTCCTTGTCGGGGCACTTCTACATAGCCTTGAGGTGGACCCTGCTGAAGATTAATTACTTCTTGTGAATCGAAGATCGACCACAGTGACTGAATTATTTCCGGTGAATGTACCTTTTCATCCTATTTTCAATTCCTCAAAGGTCATGTTATCCACTTCCCCAGCACTTTTCAACAAAATGCATAAATAATAATATGATGTGAAACTTAAAAAATACAGTATTTGAAAACCCATAATTTTGTGGGAGATCCAAACACAGCATTTAGCGGCAGTATCTTCTGACGTCATGAGTTCCATCGGTAGCATCATCCAGAGTTGCCGGTTGTATTATTTCGAAGAAATATATAGAGAAAATATACAGACGTTTTCAACTCAAAAGAACTGTCAACTACTGAGAGTGTTCTTAGCAATTATGTAATGATTTTCACTAATCTAGGTGTTACTTCTATTGGCAACCAATCATGTTGGTAGGTTCAGACAGTCAAGATAATATGTGGTTCAAACATAACCTTGTGAAAGTGTTTTTTATAAGTAAGTATTCATACGTATGATACCTAGGTATATCATCACACCTGCTCAGACGAGTAAGAGGCAATATCAGATTATTAATTGTCCTGATGTCGTGAGAGCGAACGAAAAAAATGTATCTAATGCAAATTCAAATTACTCTTGACCTTAAGCAGTTCATCAAACACAGTTAGTGAATAGATGTGTCACTATGTTTAGTCATACTCTCCACATTCATAATACTCCTTACTGTTTTTTGTATGATGAAAGCTGTATGTAGGAGTGTTTACTTTTTTGTAATATAGATCACATAGCTTAGCCTACCACATAATTGATATATGGTCGTTCGTGCACATATCTTCACTTTGAATCTGATCAATTCTAGATAATTATTTGTCTTTGTTTCATTAAGAACTGACTGATTTGAAACAAACCACTCTCTAGCTAATTTTGAATCTCTTATGCGAATGTTGATACCGTGGATGTGACGTCATCTGCATACAAGACTACATGTTTTGTTTTGAATAGCCCAGCCGAGGCAAACAAGCAGGCGAGAAAATAGATAGTTTTTCGTCGATTTTAATTTCTTTCCTTCGACCTCGAACACATATTCACACAACGGTCTTGTTCGCACGCAAGATCTATCGAATTTTGTAGTTATTATCAAATCAATCGCCGTTCTCGTACCTTGCCGTATGAAAAGGGCTTGCGGACGATTTTTCATTCGGAAATTAGAACGTAAATTGTAATTTTTTTGTAGAGGTCGATAAAAAACTCCTTATCTTCTTCAAGGATGCAATGTGAGTTAAAATATAAATGTCCTGATATTGAGTATTATTGTTTTTTCTATTTTATATCTACAAGTTCAACCAAACAAGTTTTTTTGAAGATTTTGGGGCTTCCCCAACCTCCTTTAATCAATTTAATTTCATTAATCAATGTGTTTAATTACTTTTAAAATTATCACAAAATTTTGCATTTCAAATATGTATTTTTCTTCTCCATGTAAGTAATTTCTCTTCCATGTAATGTAGCTGAATTTTCATTCATTCATTTGTTGTAGAACTAATGTATAACATCTAAGCTGATGATGAACCTATATTGGTTCGAAACTTCTCCTCTTAGAATCGTCTAGAATTTTGATTGAATAGTTGTGAAAATGACTGGGAGTTTTCACTACTACTCCATCCTTTTACTCCACTTTAACCATTCACTTGTGCCTCAAACCGTTATAAATTTGAGGTTGAACGAGTAACTTTTGTTTTTCCTTGTATAATGACCAAGACATGACATGAAAATGATATTCTGAAACATACAGGGTGTCCTAAAATTGCTGGGACACAGAGGTACCACGTGTATAGGAGGTTAAAATAAGTTGATGTACATTTTGGCACATAAATAAATTGAGTCCTATCTACTTATTTTGACCTCTTCTATACGTGGTAGCTCTGCGTCCCAGCAATTTTGGGACACCCTGTATATCTATCTAAAGTTACAGCAAGGTCAATTTGGCTAAATTTCTCCCTAGCCGGTGACTATATTTGGCAGATCTTAATATCCTTTATTCACGACTAATATATTATACTTGTGGTTTTTGAAGTATAATGCCATATATTAATCCCGCAGGGAATAAAGACTATTAATCCCTCGCCATTATTCCCTGCGGGATTAATATATGGCATTATACTTCAGAAACCACAAGTTTATATATTAGTCGCAAATAAAGTAGAGTATACTACTCGCAATAATGGCTATTATTCTCTCGGAATGTTACTCCCTCGCCGCTAACGCGGCTCGGTTCGTAAAAAATCCTCGAGAATAATAGCTATCATTATTGACTCGTGGTATAATCTACTATTTTTATAAATATAACAAACTCTTGCAAACTTTAATCTTTTAGAAAAACCAAGTATTTACAACATTTTTAAGAGCACCCAATATTGAGCCTGCACTGTCCACTTTTCCTTTATGTTTCTCGTCTTCCAGACCTACCTGGTAAGCCCCCGGATGGTAACCCTGCGGCCCCTGATTGGCCATCTCGTGCTGCCTGATGTACTCGGCGAGCTCCTCGTCCGTGTAGGGCCTCTGCTCGTCGAGGCCCTGCCAACCGCGGTCCTGCTTGAAGTCGTTCGTGTTGGTCTGGTGGAAGAATTCGTTGTAGTCGATGAAGCCGTCCCTGTTCCTGTCCATCTCGTTGAAGACGCTCTCCCGCATGCGTTCCATCTCTTCGTACCTATCAATTGAGGATATTTCACAGGAACCCAAGGCTTTTAGGCCGCTCACAACGTTAAATGACGCAATTTGCGTGATACGACGACACCACTTCCATCTGTGGCTCTCTGAATTCTCCAGAGGCAGTCACAACCCATCACATTCTTTCCTCATACATCAATTTTCAAGTTAGAGATCAGCGCAATGAGCTGTACCGGGTGTACCACTAAGAGAGGACGCCGGCTGTATCTCGGAAACTATTTGCCGCACTGGTTTCAGAAAAAAATATTTATGATAAAAGTGGCCAAGAAAAATGTCTGTGGAAATTATTTTCAAGTTTCCAGGACAGCCGCTAGAGGGCATAATTGCATTGGCCGACTTAAAAACGGGTTTATATGAAAATTTGATATATCAAGACATTTCAGAAACACTTCTTCCATGTTCTCGAGTTGATTTCCAATCATTTCGATCAAAAATTGCGCTATCTCTTAAAATAAAAGAGATAGGGAAGGATGAATAGTACTCTGGAAAAACTCTTATTACTACAGTTTGGTGTAACGGAATTGAGCGATCTTGGTCTCATTATGAAGGGTTTTTTCAGATCTTCCCGAAGAATCACGAATCAAATCGATTTAAATCCCGTGGTGTCCGCTTAATGGCATCGTTTGAAAAATCAGCCGATTTGTCTTTTTTTTTGAGAATTTCAAACGGAACCATATATTTTTCCTGCCATGATATGAAAGTAAAGTAAACAAGGAGAAAAATGGTGAAAACCGCTAATCGATACCTCTTGAAGAACCGGAGAAATACTCGGAATAATATTAAAATTTAAACTGTTTGCATTTGAAATGCCTCCTCATTCGATATCGGCATTTTGACAAATAAGCAATCCACAGTGGAAACTTTCATTGGAACTTCAATTATATTTTGACGTTCCTTTCATTTAAAGACAACTTGCCTTTTCTCATTCCTGAGCCTGTACTCACTACTCACATTTCAATTAGCTATGTCATTATTAAGAGTCTCCTTCACTATTGTGAGATATAACAGCAGTTTGTGAAATCAAAATAAATGAATTATTGAAATCATAATTTCATAGATACAGGATATTTCTGATCACGATTATTGAAGTTAGATTCCTGTGGTGAACATTTTCATAATATTATTTTGAGTATTTCACCGGCTCCTCAAGATGTATCAATACGCGGTTTTCACCATTTTTCTTCTCGGTTGCTCTACTTTTATATTAGAATAGAATGAATATATGGTTCCATTTGAAATTTTCGACAAAAATGGAAAATTGACTGATTTTTCAAACGATGCCATTTAGCGGCCACCACAGGATTTAAATCGACTTGATTCGTGATTCATCCGGAAGAACCAAAAAAACCTTCATAATGAGACATAGATCGTTGAATTCCGTTACACCAAACTGTAGTAATGAGAGTTTTTTCAAAGTACTATTCATCCTTCCCTCCCTCTTTCATTTAAAGAGCTAGCGCAATTTTTTTTATCGAAATGATTGGAAATCAACTAGAGAACACGAAAAAAGTGTATTGATATGTCTTGATATATCAAATTTTCATAAAAACCCGTTTATTGAACTGGCCAATGCAATTACGCCCTCTAGGGAAACTTGAAAATAATTTCCAGAGATTTCTCTTGGCCACTCGCATCATTCATATTTTTTTCGAAACGTGTGCGGCAAATAGTTTCTGAGATACAGCCGGCGTCCTTTCTTAGTCTTACACCCGGTACATTCGATCGCCCTAGAAGCCGATTCTGGGCGTGGCTTATGGATATGGTCAGTGATCACAAAGCACTTTGAGAAGGATTTTTGAGTATGTTTTTCCGTAATTTTAACGTACATTTCTATTCAACTCTGACTCAACTGGATTCACTTCAAGCAATATTCATTATATGAAGCCAAGCTTCGGGAGATAGGACTCGCTAACTAGGATTCTTATATGTATTGTGGTATTCCCATAAGAAACTGTCCAGAATTGTGAAAGAAATATTAAAAATAGATTAGACCAGCAGGTAGTGACAAATTTTCGGACGTGGTTTCACCCAGTATGTGTATATGTATGTATTTTGATGTCAGATCAGTGATGACTTTTATTCTTATTGGTAATTTAGATTTAAGTTTGAATAAGGAAACTTGTAATTAGGCATGAGCCTGTTAGTTTTCTATTAATAAATAAATAAATAAATAAATAAATGTAGAAAAATGATATATGAAAGAATCCTCCCAGGTTCTTTATGCATTTAGGCATATTATCAAGGTTTAGGTGTACTTGGGCATGGGCAAACGGTATATAATTTTTTCCGTAGCATATGCATATCACAAACATGTATACTTCTTGGAGGCAGCCTGTTTGAAAACGAGGAAAAATGATATTTTTAAATATAAGGTGATTACCTTTTGGCCTTAAGCAACCGGTATGCCTTTGTATTTTCCACTATGCATATCACTTATATTTCATTTTGGAACACAGGCAGCTTGACTCCAATAAATAATGTCCATCTATAACTTCAATATGCATGAAGAATCCGGAAGGATTCTCTCATATATCATTTTTCAAGATCAAAATATATACATAATGATACCCACTAATAGGCATACTGGCTGAAATCACGTCCGAAACTACCTGCCGATCTTAATGAATTTGAATCGGTCTTAATGAATTTGAATCGATTGCCAGCCCTGCGGACCAGGTTCAATTCCTGCGAGGGTCAGTTTTTTTTATTTTGTTCACTCAAGTTATTCTGCAAAGTATACGAAATAAGTTGTAATGATTGTGATAAAACATATGTAGGCCAAATCATGCGACCCATAAAAACAAGGTTCAAAGAACACATAGCACATTTAAAATATGGTAGGTTAGATAAATCGAGTTTAGTCAAACATATGTTCAATCAAAATCATAACACACATATTCCTAACCTCAAATTCACGATTGGGTGAACATATACCTAGTATATAAGCAGCACACTAGAGTATGATATTTAGTTTTAATCTTCTCCTGAAGATGCTAACAAAGTTAGTTTAAAACATCGGTTTAGTTAATGGCAAAAGAGTGTAGTGTATTATCGTGCCAAAGTTTCCAATCCTCGATATGTCTATTTACTGTTACCGAGTCTGAGGCTATCCCCATCATTCGCGATTTCGTTCATTTATCCGTGTTCGGCGTTTGGGATTGTTATTGGCGTATACTTTTCAATGATTGATGAATGAATCGCGGTGTCTATCTAATGTTATTTAGTCCGACCTTATACCTTTCCCTCATGTCGTCCTCGGGCGCCCCCTGCTGGTACATCTTGTCCAGCTCCTTGACGAAGAGCGCCTTCACCTCGTCCTGGTCCCACAGCCCGTTGCCGTCGACGTCGTGCAGCATGAAGAACGTCTTCGGGTCGAAGTCCTGCTGCATCTGGTCCTGCTCCTCCCACACCTCTTCCAGCTGCGCCTGGTGGCCAGGCTCGTGCAGCTTCTCGTGCTGCTTGTGCTTCTGCTCCAGCTCCTACGATAATCGAATCAAATTTCGAATGGAATTTATTTCTACACCCGTATAGTCCGAGAGTTGGCTGGAAATTTCCACCGTCATTTGATAACGAAACAACAAATGGCGCAATTTTCGTAAGCTCATACTGCTATTTTGATTTAACGGTATTCAGATGACGATTGAAAAGTTAATGTTAACAGCGTCCGTCCTACTTTTTGATATAAGCGACAACGTCGCAGTGTTAAGAATATTTTAGGTCGATAGAACACAACTAATTATCCAGGAAACCAAATTTTCAGTATAATCCTACGATGCGTTTTCCAGCAACGTCTATTGTGTCATCCACCGTGAATCAGCCTGAATAAAGAAATACATTGAGAATTGGCATTCTCTATGCGATGAAAATATCAATTCTTTCTCGGTTTATTCAACAGAAAACAACTACTTTCCTTGCTATATGCCACGACGAAAATTTAATTATATCTATTGAACACACACGATAAGGATTTGAACACAAAACCTTCTGAAGTTGAGAATTTGCATTCTCCTTCCGAAAAAAATATGTATATGAACATATCATTCTGAATATTCAACAGAAAACAACTACTTTCCTGGCTAGGTGCCAGGTCGAACATTGAATTATATCTGTTGAACATCCAAAAAGAGAGCATAAAAAATAAAAATCCTCTGAAATTGAGAATAGATGAGTGGATTATTTTTCGTTATTTCTCAATCATCACTCAAATACCTTCCGATTCCATATTTCATTAGAATATTTCGGTCAATTTTTAGGCGCGAAAATCATCAATAATACCACTTTAATTTTCAAACAGATAGAAATTTACCGCGAGTAAAAGCTGATGTTACGATTTCGTAAGTAGGGGCAGACCATAGCACAGTTGCCATGTATTGAAATACGATTGGTAACTTCAGAAATATTAATTATTCACACATTGATACACTCTCAATTATGTGTTGGTAATATTCCAATTCAGCTATACAAAATCAATTGTAAAATGTTTCCATATGATTTGTAACTTAGTGCTTATAATACATTTGTGTAAATAGTAATTATATTAATTCACACTAGAAGACATTTGAAGCGGTGAACGTGACAACACCGCGCGCATGACTTGTGGGCGTGGTCTTGTCCCTTCTGAGCATTCACCACAATATTGCCAAGTCTCCAACATTTACATGAAATTTTGTTATGGAGTATGGAGTATATTTGGACAAGCTGGTTGCTCGAAAGAGTCAAAAATGAACTATAATATCATGAGTTCCTCCTAATATGTTTTATTCAACGACAGGACTCTTACATCTGTTTGATAACTTGATTATATAATTGGTGACTTGACAACCTTGCTTCGTGAGTGGGAATGGAAAATTATTTGACCAATAACGAAACAGCATAGAAGCTGACGTTACCATTTATTCGACGTATCGCCAAATAGTGGCCATGACAGTACGTTTGAAATGAGCTTCGAAATTCAACAATCTCGAACAAAGCATACACTCATTATTTATATGAAAAAAAGTGTGAGGAGTGTTGCAAATATTAATTTAGGTCCCTAACGACACAGTGTAGTAACTGAATGCCAATAATTCATTATAAGTCCACTCGCCGCCTATTGGCATTCTCTCTCAAATCGGGTAAATAATATGATGTATTAACTGTTGTGAATTCGTTTTTTACGGGCTTTCGAACGAATAATTATTGCTATAATGACAGAATTTTGACATTTTCGGTTTAAAAAAACTGATTATTTTGAAGAAAAAAAAGGGCGCTTGACCCCTCATTGCTCTTAGGATAATTTTAAAATTCATATTTTCTGAAAGCTTCTCTTAAATTTTTTTACTCGAAATTGCTGAATTTACTGAGTTAAATTAAATTTATGAATACAAACATAATTTCTTTGAAAATCATTACGAATTTGAGCTCAACATATCATAAACATTCATTTTGGAAATTCTTGAAAATATGAAAACAGACTTATTCAAATTATAATAATCATCAATATCCGACTCGTTAGTACCACTTATATCGTCCTCTGTCTCATTGGAGTATGGCAATCTTGAATATTCCTGTTGAAGATCTTCTGTTGCCATCTCGGCAAAGTACTTTCAAGCCCTTAAACTATTTCATACTAATTGGAATCTTTCGTGAGTAGGCCTCACGAGATATACTTACATATCCAAGCCATACTTTGATGTAAAAAAACAAAGCAAAAAGGTGCCAACTGCACTCAGTGTGGCGCTTAGCACCTCAGTGCACAAAATTTTTTAGGACAACAAGGTGCCAATCACCATCGACAGGCACCTTATGGCTCTTATTCCTGTTTAATTTTTGGCGCTTGTATCCACGAGTATAATTGCAGTGGCTTGACTCTGGCGCTTGGCACGTCTTAGTGTCCAAACCAAAACTCATGCCTCCGTTTGATATTTAGTATAAGACGCAGCTACAGAATTTGTCACAAACTGAATGAATGCCATTGGCTTAACACGATTAATCGCCGCAAATTACATTTTGCCTGTTTTTGCTTCATGTTGATAAAACTCAAAATTCCAATTTATTCATATGACAAATTGAAATATCGAACTGACGATCACAATTTAAGTATCTGGTGGTCAAGAGATCATTTTCTTACAATATTGCTATCGTCGTGAATGACCTGATAAAACTCCCCTTTTTCCGATTTGACATGACTCCGAATGCCTTCAAGAACAAATTCAAATGCCATCTATTGGAACTGCGAAATTTTAAAAAATTCGACTTTCTTTCTCTCTATTTTTATGTTCTCTTCTCTCTTTCTCTTTCTATTTATCTTATCTCTCTTCTCACTCATCTTCTGAGTCTCTTTCTACGTTCTTCAACTAGTAGGTAGGTACATATATCATCTAATTTGGTGATCATTCACTATTAATATAAACTTATGTAGGTTTAGTTTGAAGAACAGCCTCAGAGGTTTGCCTTCTGAAGTCTGAACCATATGCCTTTTATCTGACTACTCATTATGGATATAGTTTTCTAACTCAACTTATGTAAAGTATATGTGGGTATATATAAACATATGCATTATTATTATTATCATTATCATTATTATTATTATGTTCCTTCTTGCTCTACTTACAGGGGCGATACATATAAATTTTAAACCAATATGAGTATTCTACTGAACAAAAAAATCGCCATAAAATAAGAATATAAATCAAAACAATCATATAAAAAATATGAATCCAAACAATAATATAAAGGACAAAAATTGAAAACGTGAATCTCGAAAATCTTAAAACATAGTAACTACAATTGTCTTATTTTGAAGGTACTTATTTATGAGGTCTAGTTCAATGAATAGGACTGGTGGACCTTCCACTCAAGTAGTCAGGTGGTGCCACCTGTCAGCAGAATGAGCAGAGTGGTTTACTTGTTGTCAGGGTTGTAATAATCCATTACTTTTATAAAAAGTCTGACTCTTTGAATTAATTCGGACTTTTTTAAATTTATTCACTTTGGTATTGGTATTGGTACGTTGGATGGTGACAGATGCGCTGCGACCTAATTAGATCTATTGTGCCCCATCTGCTTCTGCCATATCAAGGATTTCTTGTTCATAGCAGCCCCTCCTCGAGCCCCTCAAGGATTTTGAGGGGATCTAGTTGTGGTATTTCTTCCATAGTAAGCCGGTGTGTTCCCAGTATGTTCAATCTTTTGTGATGTACAGCGTCACACTCCATCAGTATGTGTTGGAGTGTTTCTCGTTCTTCCTCACAGAATCTGCAGGTGCCGTCTTCCTGTAAGCCTAGCTTCCTTAGGTGTTCTTTGAGTCTGCAATACCCCGTTAGAAATCCCGTTATTGCTTTGAGACTTCCTTTGCTGAGGATTGTCAGTGTCTTAGATCTTTCTCGGTTGAAATTTCCGAGGAGATCTTTAGCCACAGTCCTGGAAGTCTTCTCCATTGCCTGGCTCTCAAGGCTCCTTCCGCCTTTTCAAGTTCTTCTTGGAAATAGGAATTTCCAAGGCCGCAGAATGGCTCTGGTCAGATCAGTGGCGTTGAGGTCCCTTGTCGTGCCAGAGTGTCTGCTTGTTCATTCCCCTACACTCCGATAATGCCCTGGCACCCAGAGGAGGATCCCTTTATTGTTACTGCCTAACTCATTCAATTTGCTTAGGCATTCCCATACCATCTTCGAGTTGATGTTAGAAGAGCTCAACGCTTTGATAGCTGCTTGGCTATCGGATACAATCGTGATATCCTTCTTCCGGTATTTCCTGTCTAGGTTGAACTGGATGCATCTTTATATGGCGTGTATTTCCGTTTATTCACTTTACAAAAATGAAATTTCATTTACGTAAATAAAATACAAGAATGTAATAAAACAAACTGACTTTATTTTCTTCAAAAAATCCAAAAGCATATCATAACAAAATAGGCAATTTTTGCAAAACAAACTGAAACTATTGACTGAAAAAAATAAATAAATGCATATATGCAACTCATAACTTATTCAGTATCCTCGACTTCAAAGTTCGCAATTTTCCAAAAAAAAAAGTGCAGCAATTTTCATTGCAGGACTACGCACTTGGTGTCATTTTGGACAGCAATTTATTTTGAAAATTTGCTAGGCATCAAAATTCAATTTTCCAAAAAATGGCAGCAATTTGCACTGCGCGAATACACACTAGTGTCATTTTGGGCATTATTATTATTATTATTATTATTATTATATAAGTGATATAATCAAGTGTGAAGCGACTCTTAGAAAAGTCAGTTTTCCGCCTGTGGGCGCTCAGATTGGAGCTCAAATGTTTAATGCCATTGAATTTTTCAGTCCAAACTAGTAAAAATTGAAGGTAATAATACGATTTGTTCCCATTGGGAAAGTTTGAATTAATAGTTGATTCAAATACTTTATAACAACTTCATAATAATTCTTCATTAAACTATAATGTACAACATGTACATACATGACCTTGTTTTTATGTGACTTGACTCCCGCACAAGTAACCATGGTTGCCAACTTATTACGAACCACAATTGAGGTCTTTTCTAGCTTGAACGAGAGAGAGAGGAAAGCTCTCTCCTCTTCCATCTCTCTCTGCAATGCTACCAACGTGGCCGCATTTAAATATAGAGAGGTCCGATAAATCTTTCCTTGTCTAACATATACTTTGTGCCACTGGACTATTTTTCAATTCGGCAGAGTGTGAAATTTAATGATATTAACAAATTATGTCAAAATAAGTATGTAACAAATCAAAATTTCATTTCGAAAATACTAAATGTCATCAGTCAATGACATTCATGACATAGACATATCACGTCATTATAATATCGAAAATAGTTCAGTGGCGCAGACTAGAGGTTAGAAAAGGAACGATTCATCAGACCTCTCTATATTTCAATGCGGCCACGTTGGTAGCATTGAAGAGAAAGATGGAAGAGGAGAGAACTTTCCTCTCTCTCGTTCAAGGTAGAAAAAAGTTCAATAGACAATAATATAATGACAGTACCTAACAAATACAAATAACAAAGTGGATTTTTTGTTTGTTTGGATGATAATACGGATTCCAAGTAACCAGAATCCTGGGGGATTAACCGCCATATTTTTTTTCGATCTAACAGTAGCAACATACCTAAGTAATGACTCCCACGGGTTTCAAGTAACAAAAGAGAAATATAAAACCATCAAAGTTTCTTGCTTTATAGATTCGGAAAATTCGTCTATCAAAGATAAAAAAACATAAAACTGTTTCTATGTTCGGAAATGTATGTATTAAAATGTCGGATCATTGCCGGAAATGCACTTTCTTTCAGTAATTTAAGGAACTGAATAATTTCATCTTTGAACTGGATGATCCAATTAGGGTGTCCAAAATCCCGGGGGAAAAACCTAGTTCCCGGAATCCGGGGATTAACCGCAATGACCGCAATTGTTTTTTTGATCCAACAGAAAAATTCAGAAATACATAAAACAAGTTACATTTTGATTAAATACGAAAATGCAAATTAAGGTCCCCTTCGCAAATATCCCAACATGCCGTGATTCAAACTGATCTAAGTTCGTGGTAGAGCATCAATAATTCCAAAAATATTTTGCCTCTATGGAAAGGTAATGAACAAGCACATGGAACTGATGGTCCTGGCCGTTCCTGGGTCCATTGGATATTATCTTCCAACAAGGGCGAAATATTCTTTGAAATATTGATGGTGATGGTCTTGGAGTAATTCAGATCAGTTTGAAATGTGGCACCTTCTGATATTCGTGAGGAGGACATTATCTTATTTTATTTACTTTTGTATCAACTCCTTAACATGTGATAATGAAAATATGTCTTGAATAACAACAGCAAAAATAGCTGTGCCAAGAATTTGACTCTGATTGGGAGGTTAATTGAATAGGTTGGCCATTTTGAGGAAATTTCTCGTTATTTTATTGAAAAATTCAAGGAATTTATCAAGGAATTTATCAAGGAATTTATATAGTAGTAGTCTCTGTAGAAGTATTAGGAAAAATGCTTAGAATTTCATAGATATGCATAAAGAATGATCTAAGTATTTATTTTCCAATCCTGATGAACTTTTCAAGATCATTATAAGTATTACAACCATTTGGTAATGTCACATAATTCCGAGCATAATTCTTTAACTTTCCTGTGGGTTTGATTGAAAACATAGGAATTTTTGAAACTACTCTTATAATTGAAGTAACATTTACAAAAATTTCACAGTTGTTTCAGTTTATCCTCAAGTTTATCTGAGATCATCACTCAGGTCAATTAATAATTATCATAAACAGTAAATAACAAGAGATATATAATAATCTTCCTAGGATTCCTCAGTGTTTTTTGGGGTATCTTAGTATTACCAGGGAATTACTAATGGTATTATTTATGAAATCCCATGTTCCCCAAAATTACATCTGTAAGACATCATAGAAATATTCATATGGTACTCAATAATAGGATATCTCTGGAAAATTTTCCTTGGGACATTCAAAAATTTTTTTGGGGAAAAATGGATTTTTTGTCAATTATTATACTAGAGGGATATCCTACTGGAGAATTAATACAGTTCTCTGAATTCCTTGAATATGAATATATGAATTATTTTGTATTAATTTCATGGCTGCTTTGGAAGAAGCACATACTGTACCTACTGCACTACCTAGTATTATGAAATTTATGGAAACCCAAATAAGTAGGTGTAGGTATGGCATTGAATCTCAGATGAGACTGGGAAAATAAGGCAAGATTATTCACAAACAGCATTTTGACTACTTACCTGAAACTCCTTTTCTAATTTTTCTTTTTCTGCACCATTAGTATGATTCAACTTATCCTGCTTCTTATACTCCTTCTCCAGCTCATACTCTTTGAACTGTTCCTTTCTCTTCTTATCAGCCTCTGCCAAATCAGCAGTAGTTTTAGCAATCAGTTTCTTGAGATCATCTATTTCAAAAGTGTGTGGATTGGCGTGGTCTACATGATGATGTGTAGGGTCCTCATCTATGGAATTGGGATCTTCAAGTTGCCTTTTTTTTTCTGTGAGATCTTTGAGTCTCTCAAGTTCCACACGTTTTATCTCATCCAGTCTTGTTCTTACATGGTGTGAGACAAATTCCAGCTCTTCAGCTATTTTCCCTGATCTGATGTCACTTTCATCAGCTTTTTCTAATTTCTGTCTGAAATCTGGGTCAGACTCTAGGGCATTGACTACTTCCTTGAGATATCGGTGATATTCCATATAGTCTTCTAAGCCATTAATTCCAGAGTCTTCTTTACCTTCTTCTTTTTTGGTTTGTTGGACAGGAGGGGCATAGCAAATTTGGATCATCAGAAATGATAGCAGGATTATCACTTTCATATTGATGTGGGTTCAATTAAATACCCAATAAATAGCTATAATTATTCTGAAACATATGAAAACATTTGTTGAGCAATATTTTTTTGAATGATCAAAGTATGAACATAAAATGGATAGGTAGGTACTTTACAATAAAATGACAAGGCTCTCACTATTTTTCTAGGTCAATTAAACTTTATATATCTATGGATCATCTATCACCATATTATCATTTATTGAAGAAGAAACTGATATCAAATATCACCACCACAATCCACGATTACCAGAACACCACGTATATTGTATTTTTCAAACCAAATTAAAAACATCAACAATTTTTCATACAAGTGACAACCGACGTTATTAGTCTATGTGGTAATCTAGCACCGTACATATGTGGCTAGAGGACGGTTTACTTCTAGCGGCTTGAGAAGAAGTCTTCATGATAATATTTCTCAAGGCTATCTTCTTACTAGATAAGAGGCCAATAAATCAGAAGAAAATCTGTCATTAGTGTCATTTGACATTTTTATTTTATTTTTCTTTCAGAGCCAAAATTTGACATCAAAAAATCAAAATAAAAAGGAAAATAGAAAAGCAAAAAGTAGCTATGCATGGAAAATTAGGTTCTTCCAAATTTGCAAATTCTATTTCATTTTGCCTCAAATGATATTCTTGGAGCCAAAATATGTACTGTCTTCAGTGGCTCATTCCAGTTTTGTTGATGCCAAAACCTTCCAACCCTGCCCTGGTGCAAACCCATGTAATGTTCATGATACTTTATTTGATTGGATTTTTCCTGGAGCGAAAACCATGTACGATTTGCAGCCTGGTATTTCTAGCAACAGTATTCTTAATTTGCTACAGTGGACTTGGCAACTGCCTGATATGGGCTTCAACCTGTGAAAGTGAAAATGGATAGCAAAGCAATGGCCAGAGCACTCCTACCTGAACTTGACTCTTGCTGGGGAAGGTACCTTTGACATTAATTTTCAAAATATGATTTTCTCTTGTAAAGAAACTTTTGTTGTTAATTGAATTTATCAATATTATGTATAAAATGTAAATATTTTTATAGATTATATTATCTACCTATGCCTGTGGCATATTATTATGCCAAAGAATTTTTGACTTTTATTCTGTATTTTCTTACACCAAATCAGTATAATGGTATAGACAATTTTCTATTACAGCTCTGCTTCTGAATTGAATCCCCACTATCAAAGAAATTTTCCTACCTACTGATTCTATGGGCAGTTGCATGCAGTTGTAAGCATAAGTTTATAAAATAGTGTGATGGCTAGCTCCAGACAAGACTGACAAATTTAGCTACCCCTTTGTATATTTCTCAGACTTGGCAACTTGGCATAACCACAGTATATTATCCTAAGGGATAATATACTGTGACCTAACCCTAAGAGTTTAATCTTGAATAAAAATCTCATGCAACTAATGAATTCTTTCTGGTTTGAATAAATTCAGAACATTGGAAACTTTTAGCCAAGATGAACGTTTTTTGAAATAGTTCCTGTATTGAATATGTATTTTCCAGATTCAGGGATGAGTAACTTACATCAATAAATGAATGAGAAACATACTAAATTTCAACAATTTTTCTAGAATAAAATTATATTTATATTACATTGTTACAATTTATGAAATTTGTAATGAATGGTGGAATGGACTTCAACTATCCAACAGCATTTCTTGGTTGTAGTCCTGAAATAAAGAAGAGTATGTTAGGTGCATTTTACCACTATTTAATAAAACAAATATAAGTTAATTGATCAGTTACTACTTCAGCACTTTATTAAATAGGGCTGATAGTGCTGATTATCTATCAAGAAGTGTATTAGGGTGGTCCACAACTTGGAAGGGTGTCTGGAGCTTATCTTTCAAGATATAGAACTTTGGGTCGTAGTTATTTTCATTCAATTCAGCTATCCATTTAGGATATATGTTTATCAAACTACCATTATAACAGTTAACATTATAACAGAAGACTAGGATTTTTTCGCAATGAAAATTATGAAACATTGAGAAATACTTACATACATCTTGTACAGATGTGAACCTATCTCAATCTTCTTGCTTCACGTTCAGATTCCAACAAAGTGAGGATATCCCCTTCTCTGACGGGGCCCTTTACATTTCGGATGATTTGACGGTTTTGTTCGCCGATGAACTCAACTTTAACTTGGGTACACTGGCCCTGGGATCCAGTTCTTCCCAAAACTTTGATAACACGAGCAAGAACTACTGGCTTATCCATGTTTTTAGCAAACCAAACGGTTCAGCAAAAATGTTCTAGTTGCACGTGGAGAGCTTTGGACAAAAAGGAAGCAGATGACAGATTGACAGATTCAGTCAAATTGTATCAAATATCAAATGTCAAATTTGTTGAGAATGAACGACGAGTTTCTCCAGACAGAAGTGATGGCTTCATTCTGATCGGAAAGCAAGAATTCAAATAGCCATGACTTTCGGTATAGATGCAAGTCCAATGAGAAAGATTCCACTTCTCAACGAGAGTTATCATTCACGAATGTATGTATTGAAATATTTAGGGATATAGACCTAACTATTATAGCGAACCATCAGAAAAGAAAAATTTATAGAGGCCGGATATTTTAACAACTCCTATACAGGGTGTTTTTGAAATGGAGGTCAGTTCGTTACTTGATCGAACTAGGGTCCCTTGATGGAATTTGACGTTAATGTCATCTCAACAGGGTACGGACAGATCATAGCTGCATTCTTTTTTAATGATCTAGAGATTTTAGTTTTGCCTACTGGCATCCCTGACATTGCTGTCACGTCATATCCATGGGCGCTACAGAAAATTATTCAAAATTTTAATGATGGGTATGTTATGAATAAGTTAGTCTTGACCAGAAATTGGCTTTATTCAACAAAATACAGCATGACATGTGATATGACATAAATAGATAACTAATCAAAGTAACAGGACAAATGATGAACTTCGGGAATACGGCGTGTTAACTAAATATTATTATTATACAAGGAATGATCATCACATTCTCCCGTGCATTTAGAAACAGTCATAGACCTCTAAATACTTTGGAGGTCCTCTAATTCTTTGAGGTCGATCTGTAGATTCAGAGGATGACACCTCAGGAACGGAACTGCTATGCACTCTAGTTGAAATTAATTCATCATCATGTGTTCCAAGTACATCTTCAGTTTGGTTCGAATTATCTTTGTTGGCAATGCTTTCATTTGCTTTCGAATTTGGTTGGTTATCTCTAATAGGAGTGGAATGGTACTCGACACAATTTCGATCAAAATATCCCTCAGTACCTCGTGGTGCTAAATGTTTATTTGAAACCGTTGTTTCCCTACCGTCTGGTAACCTAACATAAGAATAATCCGGGTTCGCTTCGAGTAGTTCGACTTCTTCTACAAGTGGCTCATACTTATTTGCTCGAATATGTTTCTTCATAAGGACTGTACCAGGTGATGTCAACCAAGAAGGCATAGATTGTCCATTGCTGGATTTGCGACTGTGGAAGAACATTCTCTCATGAGGAGTTGCATTTGTGGAAGTGCACAAAAGGGATCTTATCGAATGAAGTGCTTCTTGCAACACAGATTCCCATTGGGCGATTTTCAATCCTTTGGAGCAAAGAGCCAACTCAATTGTCCTCCATATGGTACCGTTTTCTCTTTCTATTTGGCCATTTCCTTGGGGATTATATGCCGTAGTGCGACTGGTGGCGATTCCTTTCGACTGGAGGAAATGTTTCAATTCAAAGGACATAAACGACGAGCCTCGATCTGAATGGATGTAACAAGGTAAACCAAACACCGAGAACATCATAGACAAATGTTTTATGACTGTAGCAGCTGATAGATCAGCACATGGAAATGCAAATGGGAATCTTGAGTATTCATCTATTACCGTCAAAAGGTACCGATTGTGAGATATGGAAGGCAATGGTCCCTTGAAATCTAAAGCCAATCGTTCGAAAGGTACAGTTGCTTTTATTAATTGACCTTTATTTTTATAGAAACGAGGCTTGACAACAGCACATATAGCGCATGAAGATGTGATCCTTTTGATATCATCGATGGAAAATGGAAGATTTTTGGAACGAATCCAGTGTGTCATTCGAGTAATGCCAGGGTGGCATAGAGATTGATGGAGATTGTATAAATCAGATAATTCTTTACCACTTGTACTAGCACAAACTCTCGATAGGGTATCTGCTACGGCGTTATCTTTTCCAGGTCGATATACGATGTCATACTTAAAACTTGATAATTCCAGTCGCCATCTCTGAATTTTATCGTTCTTGATTTTTCCAGAATGTTTATTATCGAACACAAATGACACGGATTTTTGATCTGTTATCAAACGAAAAGCTCTTCCAATCAAATAGTGCCTCCATTTTCGTAGCGCTTCAACTATTGCATAGGCTTCTTTTTCTATAGCAGAATGTCGACGCTCACTGTCAGAAAGTGTTCTTGAATAGAATGCAACTGGTCTTCCATTCTGTGATAGAGAAGCAGCAATTGCATAGTCTGATGCGTCAGTCTCTACTGTGAATGGAGTTTTGTCTTCAATGGATGTCACCATCGATTTGGCTATATCTGATTTCAAATTTTCGAAAGATTCAATGACTTGTGAATCTATTGGGAATGAGTTGACTTGAATTAGTGGCTGGATTTTCTCTGAGTATTTTGGGATCCATTTGGCATAGTGCGAAAACATACCAATAGCTCGACGAAGAGATGGGTAATCATTAGGTGGTGGTAGTTGCAGGAGTGGCCGAAGGCGATCAGGATCTGGTTTGATGGTTCCATCTTTTATAGCGTATCCAAGAAGATTGATTGATGTTTGGGAAAACTTCGATTTGTCTTCATTATTAGTCAAATTATATTTCTCAACAATCTCTTTGAAGTGATGCAGATTATGTTCATGTTCTATCGCATCTTTTCCACAAATGGTCACATCATCTAGATATGCAAAAGTTCCCTCTAATTTTTCATCTCTAATG